AATCTAGGCCTCACATGTGTAAAGACCAAGACCAAGGCAAGGCCAACATGCCATTTATGATCAATTTAAATGCCATAATTTAAAAGCCCTCAACACCGCTGAACCAAAGTCTTCAAAAAGGAAAAATTGAACGTATGAAAATACAATTAGAGTCTAGATCTAGAGTCTAGATCTAGAGTCTAGATCTAGATCTATACATTGACATTGGCGATTTATTTTAGTTGTTTTGAGGCTCTAAGTAGAGCCTGTTCAACTATCTGGTAAAGAACGACAATAAATGCATGGCGTGCAGGCTAGACAAATCAGTTTTTGGCAGGTGGGGTAGGCCTAGTAAATAGACTGGGAGATCTTTCCAGTATTCGTCCAGAGAGTACATAGACTATAGATTCTAGATCTAGACTGATCAACGGTGACATCTTAAGCTTGTATAAAAGTTAAAGGGCGGGGGGGACCTCTAAAACAAAAAGTATAGGCTAATATATTGACCACGCCTCGCCGCACTAGATTCTATGCTGCTAGGAGTAGGCTAGCAGTAGAAGAGCTCTGCCGGTAACGACGTAGCATCAGTGAAAGTAAAGAAGACAAAAACGCTTCTCCGGATCTTTTTCTTATTATAAACTTCATTAGTCTAGATATTTAGATCTAGAAAAATATAAGTTACTACATAAATGTTAATACTGATACTTGCCTCGCACAATGGAACGTCCGTGCTTTGCTCGGCTAGAACTAGACAAGAAAGAAAGAAAGGAACGTTGGCGTGAACTTCAAGAAGACATGAACACAGCCAGCGAACTTTGTTTATATCGCTAGAAACGAGGCGACCAGTTAAATGACCCGCTTGGCTCAAACCCACCAATGGGAGCAAAGCATCCTTGGCAACGCTGATTGGTGCGCGAGAAAATACGATACTTCATCGTTCTTCACTTCTTCACTGCTTCATTCTTCAACTCTTCATTCACTAATCACTTTTTAAATTATTTTTCCGAAAGCCGAAATCACTTTGTTTTAGATCTCTAGATCTAGAATCTAGGTAGCTGTAGATCTATCGCTTTCAAGTTGCCTTTAAAAAAAAAAAGAAAAATGTAGAATACAAAATTGAAATTATGTTTTCATTTCAACAGTAGATATAAAATACATCGCAATCAAAGAACTTTTGATCCAGTTTGGGCCTTTATTATCTTTTCCCTAGAAAATTTCCCTCCCCCGTTCACACTGGCCCACAAAGTGTGACAAAGCACCTGCACCGTAAAATACCATTCATTACATTGGCTGTAGCCTATTCAAACTTCAAACACATACATGTAGAAGCTCTTGTTAACATAATTTTTTGAACTTTCTACTTTTTCTCCCCAGGTCTCGGAGGTAGAACTAGGACAAAATTATAATACATTTGAAATTAGAAAAAATAACCCGCTAACACTAACAGTAACAGCAAGTCTGTCACGAAAAACGAAAAATTTGAAAGCGGGAGAATGAGGTGAAGAAGACTGTCGATGCTGGTGTAAGGTTAGCCTTGGCTTGGCCTCGCCTACCTGCCGTGGCGTTGTCCCGAAGGGGTCATAAGAGGTCACGCCTTCTTGAGGGTAAACAAAAATGAATGGGGGGAGAACGTGGACTCATTTCGAGGCTTTCATTCATTCATTCATAGCTTTGTGTGATGCGTTCTCGCATAGTTATGTGATTAATATGATATTTATTATAAGTAGATCTATTTTTTGTTATTGAATTAATCCTAATCGCTTGTTTATCTCAGAACAGAATCCATGATGGTCAGCTGATTGGGTCGTATTGAATCTCTCTCTCTCTCTCTCTCTCTCTCTCTCTCTCTCTCTCTCTCTGAT